CATTTTTAAATCTTCAAGTTGAATTACTTGTTCGATTTGGAAAACAATTTTATGAACCAATGATTAAGTTTCTTACTGGATATGATCCTGAATTACAAATATCTATTTAAAATTCTTTGTCAATCAATCTTCCTCCGGGCCGACGTGCACACCAAATGCCCGATTTTATAGTTCGTAAAACAATGAAACTTAGAAATATTGTTGAAGATCCCTATTTATTTTTTGAAAAAGAATTGTTAGAAAATATTAATTTATTAGAAGATCATCAACTTAATGAGCTTATTTTAGATCTTGAACGTGGTACTAAAAAAGCATTAGAACTTCACCAAAAATGGTTAGATTGCTGGCTCCATTTACCATTAAGTATTTGCCGTTTGGGTGGAAAATATGGACGAGAATTTGCACGAAGCTTTGCTTTTGTAATTTTAAAAATGCCTTGGTTATCAGTTCCCACCTTGCGAGAGTTATGTTATGCGAAATTTTTAGAATCAGATGTTGAATATGGCGAATTTAATGATTTTGGTTTGTCAGATGCATTACATGATTCTACATTTAATTATGAATTTCTCCAATTTATTCAGGAAAGCCAAAAGTCCTTAAATCAGTTTCCCAAAATATTTGAATTCGTCAAATATCGGATCTGGTACATTGTTGTTCACCAATAACAAGTTGAAGGTCTCTTCAATAAATGGGACCTCAAAACTCATCCAAACATGAAAAGTAATCTTCAACAATCAAAATTGCGATTATCAAATATTCCACTTTCTGAAATCAGTTGTAATTCTTTGGATTTGATGGAACTTCGATCCAAGAAACAACAGCAAGCAAAATCAAGTTCTAAATCAAATTTGAATCAGGACAATTTCGATAATGATGATAAACGTGAAGAAAAAGCAAACAAATTGTTCAAAAATTTATTTGGCTAAAAATGATATTTTTTACTTTTTATTACGAAAGTAATATTATGATAGCATTAATAACAATAACGATAATAAAACAATAA